CCTAGTCACTGGGCAATTCTCTAGGAATACTTAGGACGGTGGAAATGCTAATAGTAGTGGGTAAGAATCCATCCTTCAGTTGGCTTTTCAGGCCACCTGCAATGCCCCTTCCTCTGCCTGGCGACTCCAGCCAGAGTTGTAAGAGTACATCCGATAGTTTCTGGAGTTTTCCAAAAGGCCCTTGGCCAGTAACCAATTATTCAATTTAAATATATTGTTTTTTCCTCCAACCAAGGGAAACAGTACAAATTGGGGGTGGGGTCTGACTTTTCACTACTACCCTGTTTCCCCGAAAATAAGACAGTGTCTTATATTATTTTTTTCCCCCCAAAGATGCGCGAGATCTTATTTTCAGGGTATGTCTTATTTTTCCATGCGCTAGGTCTTATTTTCGGAGGATGTCTTATTTTCGGGGAAACACGGTAACTGCCAGAAGTCCAATGCTGTTTTTCTTCTTTTTAGTCCTAGATTCCAGGACCACAGCCTGGGGCCAAAGGAGCTACCCACTTGTTGGGATGAGGTAGGCAGTCCACAGAGTGATAACATCAATTGCTTTTTAAACTAGCATTCCCTGCTCCAGGTATTCCAGTGAGGCCATCGGCCCCAAAGCACTCCACAAGGTCCTGTTACTCATGACAGCCAGAGTATGCCATCCCCCTAAGAGACACAGTGATTAGTCCAGAGATGAGTATGTGACCCAAGCTTCAAAAGAAAAAATTTTTTTTTTACTTTAGGGGCTGGAATTATGTCTTAGTGGTTTCTAAGGGCAGAAAAAGAGTTGCCATCTGTATCTCTCAGTATATTCCTGAATCTTCCACTCTTCAGCCCAGTAGGAGGCTGGCTGGAGCTGCTGGGCCAGACAAAAAGGGACCAGCAGGAAAGCATACCAAGACTAAGAACTCGGGTTAGGCATGACTAAAGTGGGGAACTCCAGCCCTTAGAAGACTTTAGGCTCTAAAAAATGTGGGAGAATCTAAGCAGCTACTGGTTGATGAAATCAGAGCCAGAGAGCTGACTAGAGAAAGATGTAAATGTGAAGTTCAACACTGAGGATTTCAAAGCAGAGCCCAAGCAGACAGCATGCTGGGATGGGTTCGCAACTATCAGGCCTGGAACCACCCTAGAGCCAGGAAGCTGGAGGAGGAAACCTTGAACCATAGCAACTGCAAAGAGCCAGGCATTGCAGAATTTATGAAGATTGTGAAGGAGGTTCACCCAGACCACACAGTTTGAGAAAAGCAATCCCTATTATGATCCCTCCAGCAAAAACCACCACCACAAATGGTCCATGGTCGATGAACAGTTTGCTCCAATGATAGTGTTTCATTCCCCTGGCTGAGTTCAAAACCCATCACCAAGCTCACAAAGCCATTGAGGGCCCTTTGGAAAATATGGTGCTCTACTCGGCCAGTGTGGACCAATGGCTGAGTGTCAACCTATGAACCAGGAGGTCATGATTCGATTCCCCATTTACACACCAAGTTATGGGCTCGATCCCCAGTGTGGGGCATGCAGGAGGCAGCCAATCAATGATTCTACCTCATCATTGAGGTTTCTGATGTTTCTATCTCCTTTTCCCTCTCCCTCCCTGTCTGAAATCAAATGTAAACACACACACACTGCTCTTCACTCTTCTGACTCTCTCAGTTCCATCCCTGTCCCAAGAGGAGTTAGTTTAATTTTATTTTGAGCCTGGAGGAAAAGAAATCAAATTAACTGAGATACTTGCTAGAACCAGCAAGGTAATACTCCAAAGAAATGAAGTTTTTATAAGACAACAGGAGGTGTGAGGAGGCTTGCTTGTTAGTTCAAGTGAACATAACACAGGTGGGTTTTCTGTACTTTTCAATAAAACACTATTATAAACACACACACACACACACACACACACACACACACTCACACACACACACAACTTTATAGGTTAAGGCAGTGGTCGGCAAACTACGGATCGCTAGCCGTATGTGGCTCGCAAACCAGTTTGCCGACCACTGGGTTAAGGCATGGATGTGAAGAATTTCTTGTGCTTTAGAGAACACATCTACCAATTTTGGTCTTAGGAAAAAAAAAAAATAAGGAGACCTTAATAAGGAAAAAATAAAGGGAGAGCAATAGGAGCTAACCGTCAAAAGCATTAAGACTTAAATCTTACAGGAACTTTAAGTCTAGTGTAAGGCCCTAGTTTTAAATGTGAGAAACCAAAGCTGGGAGGGAAAAGAGGCTTGCTAGGGAGAATTCTTGCTGGGGTTCAAGTTTGGCAGCAAAGAGTAGGATTGATGAATGCGCATCACACAAGTATCTGGTCCTATCAAGTTCATGCTTATTTAATTCTCAATCTGGGAGGTATATATTTTAGCTCTATCTAATAGCTGATGAAATTGAGACCAGAAAGGATAAATGACCCATGTCACACAGCTAACATGGAACAGAGCTGAACTTCATATACACACCTAAATCCTTTTTATTTCCTATTTCATTTTTAGATTAAAAAAAAATTATGAGGCAGGACATAGGAATGGGACTTAGGAGTGATGTCAATCCTTCATAAATATGATGTCAGTGCTTGAGAGCATCTAGGAAAAGTCAAGGAGAGGACTTCAATAAAGGGCAAAACCTAGTTTAAATTACTAAATGAACCTTCATATCCCAGCTGCCTTCTAAAAATTTAGGAAGTTGAAATAGATGGTCTCAAAATATTTATTTGCAAGATAGAATAGGCAAAAGGAGTTGAGTAGTGTGTGGCCCAGAATCCCAGAGGTCTAAACTCCTTTCCCACTTCCCTACCCTGACCATTCCCTTCCCTGAGGTTTTGGTAAAGCAGCTGCGACAGGGGAACTCTTGGGCATTTGAATGTCACTGATTTTATGAGTCATTTAACAACTGCCTATATAATGCTCATCTACTGGCCCCTCCCTGAGTCAGAAGCATGAGAACCCTAATCATTAGGTGACTCTAAAACCCAAAGCCCATTCTCTGGTAGTAGAGTTTGACTGTTTGCTTTAAAAAAACAAAACTCCAATTCAGAGTCTAATGGACTTTGAGAGCCCTTTTCTCGAGCTCTGACTTAAGATCTGTTATTAACTGTTCAAGATCTGTTCCCCATGCTCTCATAGAAAGCATTCACTTGCTCAGTTTCAGGTTCCAGTTCAGCTCTGGCTGTCACATCGTATCTACTTACCTTTACAGCAACAGAACTCCATAAATTTGCCTTCTTAGCTAGAGTTAAAGTATCCATCCATATTAAACAGCTTTATTTTAAAAGAACTGTTGCCTTGCCTGCCTAAGATGAGGCCCAGATTAAAAGAGGATACTCCCTAATGGAGGAAATACTACAGAAATACTACAAAGTGGCATCACAAATGTGATTTACATGTTTTTGGTCAATGATAAATCTGAATTACATAAGCAAAGAAAGATAATTTTTTCTGGTAATAATGTCAACAATAGTCCACCTGGGAGAGGGCATGGCATGGGGCCTATCTACCTCAATACCTCACATCCTTTTCTGGCCCCTCCAAGTCATTATTTACATTTGTTCTTCTAAAAGAGCTATTATTCAAGGTCACTGAGTAGCCTGGCTGAATAAAGAATGTAAGTGTGGTCACTCTTCCAAATTTTCCTTCATTAGATCTCACATATTGTTACACAATCTGTAGTACTATACCCACGTTCACTAAGAAACCACTGTAGAATCTTGTTTATTTGTGAAAGAAAGTAAGGTCAAATGTGGTCTCTATGGATTGAAGTTTTCTCTCTTCAGAGAGAAGTTATTGTTAGGGTGGGGTTTTTTGTTTGTGTGTGTGTGTGTGTTGTTTTGTCCCAATAAACTCAAGAACCAAAATAATTAGATCCCCAAGCAGATCAACATTTCATCTGTTAATCCAAATTTGATCCAACTGTTCTATCCAAATTCGTTCTAAGGGGAAAATGACGCTATGAGATTCAATGAAACTTTTTCATTAAACAACTATCTTTTCATGTATCAGAAATTACTTTGTGACTGTTGGCTAAACTGTTAGTTTCAACTACCTAGGAGAAATGCCCCAAACAAATGAACTTTATTTTCAAACAGATTCAAGCAGGCCAGCAAGACTTGCTCACTGAACTGTGATGAACGAATGGCTGAGTATTTCCTCACCATCCAGGAGCCCCCGATAGAAGAAAGCCCCATCCCTCCATCTACTCACCTAGCCTGTTTGCTCAGTGAAGGAGAACTTACGAGATAGACTTTCTGAGAAGACAGTATTTGGGTGGTTTGGGGTAGAAAAATATGAAAGGTACAGAAGAAACTAAGCCTCCACATGAAGAAGGGAAAGAGAAAGAATATTACAGAACAGATTAAGATCAGAGAACAAATACAGCATAGGAAATATAATCAGTAACATTGTAGTAACTGATGGTGCCAGCTGAGTACTGGAAATATCAGAGGGAACACTGTGTAAAGCATATGATTGTCTAACCACTATGGTGTACGCCTGAAAGTAATACAAAATAATATTGAAAGTAAACTGTTATTGAAAAAAAAATTTTTTTTAATTAAAAAAGATCAGAGAACTTAGACCAATTAATGCCTTCAGGATAAACAAGAGAACCCCTCTGGCTGCTCTGAAGAAAGGGTACCTCGTGCCTCCGGGAGGGAGGATAAATATAAGGAACAGAAACATATTATCTTCCCTCTACTTCTATATCCTGCATTAGATCAGTTTGCTCCCGTTAGAGCTGATGTGAGACCTGGAGAAGGTGGTCAGGCCTATCCCAGCCACCCTCACCAACCAGAGAACACATCCATGACAAACCCAAACTCCTAATTCCTGACCTATTTTGAGTTGCCCCACATTTTGCCACTTAAGAATAGAACAAACTTTGTTTAAAAAAAAAAAAAAAAAAAAGCCTGTATTTTTAATTTAAGAAATAAAGGTTCACAAGCAATCAAGAACAGGTGCCAGGAGTTTGCTCGAAACAATCACCATACTTGCTGCAGAAGTTCAGGTTCCACAGAATCACTCGGGCCAGTGTTTCCTGAGATGCTCTTTCAGCTGAGGAATGGAAGGCAGCAGCTGCTGGCACTCATGACAGCGCAAGGGCAGCTTCAAGAGCTCAGGCATACCATCTCGGACAGTCACTCTGCCCGCCTCTTGTATCATCTTGATCACAGCTGCAAGCAAGGAAAAACAGTTCAGAGCCTAGCTGCTCTGGAAAGCCAATACAAAGAAAAAGAAAAATCTGACCCCAAATAAATATATGCCAGGTCAAAGTCTCAATATGAGCAAACTATTTTGGTATTACATTCGGTTGAGATACATTCTAAGCAACCCCTGTTACTATGTCAGAGCCTTATCACAGTGCTTTACCACTGACTAACATTGGGTTGATGACAGCTGTCACTGTTAATCCCCCAGCTTACTGAACTTCCACAGAATATTCACTGGGAATTGTTACTCTGCACACATGCCCTTCCACTATTAATTAACCACTCCTATGCTCCTGCTCAGCTGATGGCAGAAGAGACATAGAACTGTACAGAGCTTTCATATCTATGAACTCCAATAATTATCAGAACAATTTTTAAGTACCCTTTATTATAATAAAACATCTTTCTGACCCTCATATAACAGCTTTCTAGGTTCCCAAAGAAGGCTGCTCACAGCAAAGTGACAATCCCACTACAATTCAAATGATCCAGTTTCTTTTAGTGGGACCCTCTTTATAGGGAACATAAAGTTAAATATGGGTTTTTGAGACCAGATTATTATTTAGGGAAATAACCAAGTAAAATATAAGAATAGCTGAAAAAATGAAACAAATGTGAAAACCAAAGAATACTGTTTACCTTCAGATTCTAGGAAGTATTCTGTATTAAAAGAATTCCAATGTTTTTTGTTTTTAAGGCACGGAGAATCAAAATCCTGGCTGATCACATGAAGGTGTACATGGCTAGTTGAGAGGGAGAGAAATGGACGATTAAATCCATGAAAGACTAACTTAAAAGGACAAACAATGAAAGTATGGGTGTGTAAAATATTGACTGTTTCCATTTAATTCAATTCATTCATTCATTTAAGAATATTTAATGCTCATTATCTACCTACTAGGGCCACACACTGTTCTAGCACTGGGAATTTAGCAGTGAGCAAAATGGGAAAGACCTCTGTCCTTATAGAAATTATATTATCATGAGGGGAGACAAATAAAGTATAAGTAAACCAATCAACAAGGTGAATTCAAATAATTAACATTGCTTAAAAAATAATAAAACAGAGAAATGTGATAGAGAGTGCCGAGGGGGTAGAGGTTGCCTTTTTAACTAACTTAGAGTATGCAGGGAAGGTCTCTCCCAGGCAGTGATTTGAGTGAGAAAGCAGTCAGACAAGCAAAGAATCTTTGGGGAAAGAGTATTTCAGAGAGGAGGGAGGCTAAGCGCAAAAGGCCCTAAGATGAGAAAGAGCTTGATACAACCAAGGAACAGGAGGGTAATATGGCCAGAATGACTGGAGCCTTGGCACAAAGATTAGGTAGGAGCCAGATCATAAGGGTCTTATAAGTCAGCAAGAGGTTTGCACTACATTCTGATTATATGGAGGAGCCATTACGGATTTTAAGCAGAGGAGTGCTATTATCTGAGTTATACTTTTTAAAGATGATTCTTGCTGCTGGGAGAAAGGACTATGAAGTGGGTAAGGATGGATACAGAAACCTAGCAGACCAAGTCAGAAATAATCATGTCTTACACTAGAGCTGTAATATTTGAGATGACAAGAAGCAATCCAATTTTTAATATATTTTGGAACAGGACTTATAATGGATTGGATGTGGGTTTGGGGAGTTGCCACCTACTGAGATGGAGAAGCTTATGGGAAAAGCAGATTTGAGAACAAAATCAAGAATTTGCTGTTCAACGTGTTAAACCAGATAGGAAGCCTTTTTGTATAGCTTTGACTGAGTAATAGCTATTGTTGTTCAAGGGTCAACTGTACTAGAATTGAACAAATACGTAAATTTAGTGTAGCTAATGAGAACCAAATTTCGCACCGTTGGAGAAGAAGTTACAATAATGGAAATCGGAAGACAAGAATGAACCTTGTGGAGTTGGACTGGAATGAGAGGTATCACTATGAATTCATAGTTTTCATATACACACACATGTAAATAAATAGAGAGGTATGTGTTACCAGTGCAGGTTAGGATTTATGCATTTATTTCCTAGTTCTACTAGGAGCAAAAACACCCTAGAATCAATATTACAGAAACCTAGTACCCAAGTCTTGGTTTATAAATACCCAATAAAAGGAACAAGGGCTCTTGGCAGAAGTGGTTCATTCCAGAGCTATAATGAGCCTGGAACATCTTATTCCAGAAAATAAGTGGTCAAAACATGTTGGAGGTATGTCAAAGTGCTACAGGGGCCAGCCAAAAGGAGCATCCAATGATCAAAGCTGGAATGACTTGAGCAACAAAATAATGACAGATTGAGTTAAAACTTATAGAATAAAATAAATATCCATGAATGTGCACTGATAATTGAATAAATATGTAATTGGGGCAGGGATTGGGGAGGAGGGGTGTTCTTCCACCAGGAAGAAAACTAATTAATAAGTTAAAAGGGCCCTAGCCAGTTGCTCAGTTGTTAAACCTTGGACTAAAGGTTCTCATGTTCGATTCCAGTCAAGGCAGTACCTCGGTTGCAGGCTTCATCCCCAGCCCTGGACAGGGCACATGCAGAAGGCAAACCAATCAATGTGTTTCTCTCACATAGATGGTTCTCTCTTTCTCTGTCTCTCCCCCCCTCCCTTCCACTCTTTCTAAAAATCAATGGGTGATTATTAATAAAAAACAAAATATACATAAATTAGAAGGAATGAGGGAAACAAAGTCACCATTAGGTAAACACCATAGTAATAACTATTGCAGGCCAGATACAATAAAGATGTTAAAAGTACTGGGCAAAAGTTTGAACAGAAATACGATAGTAGCATAGTCTCAAAATATTCAATAGTAACTTGGAGTAGAGAAACCTGGCAGATACCACCTTATAAAGTGATCAAGGTTAACATCATGAATAATAAACCATCTTGACATCATGCACTCCTTGATATGAGGCACTGAAATGAACACATCACTTCTGCGGCATGTTGGCAAAAAAAGAAAAAAGCATAATCTCAATCTAATCATGAAAAATCATCAGACAAATCCAAACTGAGAGATATCCTATAATAACTAGCTATTATTCATCAAAAGTGTCAAGGTCACCCTAACTGGTTTGGCTCAGTGGATAGAGCATCGCCTGCAGACTGAACAGTCAGTCCCAGATTTGATTCCGGTCAAGGGCATGTACCTTGGTTATAGACACATCCTTAGTAGGGGGTATGCAGGAGGCAGTTGATTGATGTTTCTAACTATCCCTCTCCCTTCCTCTCTGTGAAAAATCAATAAAATATATGTATTTTTTAAAAGTGTCAAAGTCATGAAAACCAAAAATGGAAGAGAAAGTGTCACAGATTAGGGGAGACTAAGGAGACTAAATTCAATTGCAGGACCTTAGATCGAATCCTGGAGCAGAAAAGGATTTAAGGAAAATGGGTGAATTTCCAATAAGGTTTACAGTTTAATTAATGGCGATTTTTGTCCTGCTTCACACTTTCTTTTTTAATATTTTCTAAATTTAAAATATATTACTTTTGCAATAGACAAAATGATCTGTTACCTTTTCCTTTCTATAAACTTCATTAAAAATTACATCATAAAAAGTGGTCATAAAAGAATATGTAAGTGGCAACTTTATTTACTGCTCATTTTGTTTCCCACCCACACCTGCCATAGCTCTTGCTTTTAGCATTCTCCTCAGCACAACAGTATTCATTATATGAAAAAGGCACCGACACCATGGTTACTATGTGAAAAGGACTCTGTAATCATTAGCTGTTAGTCACAGGCTCTGAAGCATTAGGGAAATAGGACTATGGGTGACATGCAAGAATCTCAAAATCATTTCGCAGACCAAAGAAAGCCAGAATGAAAAAGAGTATACATTACATGGTTCCATTTACATGAGAGCAGACTAAACCAATTATGCTGAAAGAATGCTTGAGGAGGATTAACTGGAAAGAGCACAAAGGTGCTTCCTGGGATGAGATGATAGAAATGTTCTGTATCTTAATCAAAGTGATAGTTGCATGGCATGTACATTTGTCAAAACTGATCAAACTATAAATCTTATTATGCATTTTATTCTATATACATTATATGTCCTTTTAAAAGAAAGAGTTTTGATGGGGGGAAATATGTGGCACAAAGATTTCATTACGTTAAAGTAGCCAGTAATCAAAGTCATAATTACCCATCTAAAAATAAAAAAGTGAAGCTGAAACCGGTTTGGCTCAGTGGATAGAGCATCGGCCTGTGGACTGAAAGATCCCAGGTTTGATTCCAGTCAAGAGCATGTACCTTGGTTTCGGGCACATCCCCAGTAGAGGGTGTGCAAGAGGCAGCTGATCAATGATTCTCTCTCATCGATGTTTCTAGCTCTCTATCCCTCTCTCTTCCTCTCTGTAAAAAATCAATAAAATATATATTTTTTTAAATAAAAATAAAAATTTGCCGAAACCGGTTTGGCTCAGTGGTAGAGCGTCGGTCTGCGGACTGAAGGGTCCCAGGTTCGATTCCGGTCAAGGGCATGTACATTGGTTGCGGGCACATCCCCGGTAGAGGGTGTGCAGGAGGCAGCTCGTCGATGTTTCTCTCTCGACATTTCTAGCTCTCTATCTCCCTTCCTCTCTGTAAAATATCAATAAAATATATATTTAAAAAATAAAAATTAAAAAAATAAATAAAAATAAAAATAAAATTTTTAAAGCGAAGAATAATGGATGCTTATTAAAAAGAACCCTAAGAGGTGAGAACCTTGAGTCAAAAAGAGCTGAGGGGGTAAGAGGGCCAGCCTTAAAAAACATGTACTTTATTAAAGGTTTTAAAAGATAGCCGGGACCGGTTTGGCTCAATGGATAGAGCATCGGCTTGGGGACTGAAGGGTCCCGGGTTCGATTCCGGTCAAGGGCATGTACCTTGGTTGCGGGCATATCCCCAGTAGGGGTGTGCAAGAGGCAGCTGATCGATGACACTCTCTCATCGATGTTTCTAACTCTCTATCTCTCTCCCTTTCTCTCTGTATAAAAATCAATAAAATATATTAAAAAATAAAAAATAAATTTAAAAAAAAGAACACTAAGAGCCGAAACCAGTTTGGCTCAATGGATAGAGCGTCGGCTTGGGGACTGAAAGGACCTGGGTTCGATTCCGGTCAAGGGCATATACTTTGGTTGCGGGCATATCCCCAGTAGGGTTGTGCAAGAGACAGCTGATCGATGACTCTCTCTCATCGATGTTTCTGGCTCTCTATCTCTCTCCTTTCCTCTCTGTACAAAATCAATAAAATATATATTTAAAAATAAAATTTAAAATAAATTAAATTAAATTAAAAAAAGAACCCTAAGATATTCTGATACATGGAACAACATGGATGAACTTTGAAGAATTATTTTAAGTGAAATAAGCCAGTCACAAAAAGACAGATCCTATATAATAATTCCACTTATATGAAGTACCTAAAGTAGTTCAAGTCAAAGAGACAAAAAGCAGGGTGAGGAAGGAAGATAGTAGTGTGGGAAGAAAGTTCTAGAAATAGTGTTGATGGTTGCACAATGTAAATGTACTAATGACATTAAACTAGACCTTGAAAATGGTTGAAGTGGTAAATTTTATGCTATATTTTATTGGGGGGGAAAAAAACAAACCTCAAAAAACCCCAAGATAAAAACTCTGAAATCCATTACTCTGCTTATTTCAATTAGGTGTAAAGACCTGTGGAGAACTGCCTTGGATGCATTCTTTGAAAAGAATTAATCATTCCTTTCTGGGTATGAGCCAGGCTCTGAACTTTTCTCTCATTTTATCTTACATCTTAGATCTACTAAGCTGTTAGGACAGAAATCAGTGATGTTTGTGTCCTTCAGAGCAATGGTCCTTAATCACTTAGGAGTTTCTGAACAGTCACTGACTACAATTCTTTAATTCTTCATATCGGTGTAATAAAGCTACTTCGTCTAGTTCATAAATTAGGTCCTCAGAGGTTTACACTTTGAGAGGAACAACAACAACAAAAAAGTATGTAATTGAATTACAAGTAGAAATAGGAACTCGAGGCTTACAGGTAAGTCAGACAGACTACCAGAAGTTTCAGCTCACCTGCCTTGGAAACCCCCCTGGACCTTGTGGCTAACAGCACACTCAGCAGACCCAGGCTGAATCCATCTGCACATACACATAATCAGGATGCACCAGCACTCCCCACAGGGCTTACCTCATGCTGGGAATGGCGTGGTAGCCCAATCGGAAGCGGAGTTTGCTGGACCCAGCAGCATCTGCAATCACCTTTTCCCCCACGGTATGCATATGTTTGAGGAGCTCAAGATGTTCTCTGGTCACAGCCTTCAGACTGGAAATTGAGGCCCATGGTAAGACCAGCCAGTGATGACGAGCCTTTGGGTATTTATCCTTAATCACCACCACCTGCTCATCTTTGTAAACCTAGCAGAGGCAAAGGAGAAGGAAACAGACATTTTCCATGAATCTTCTGCGCTATGCATCTCCATTAACTCACTTAATCCCCCCACAATCTTCTGTAAAAGTTTTTAGTATCCCAATTTTGACAGATGAAAGCACAGAGACTCAGATAAACTGAGTGTTTTATGCAAAGTCACAGTTACTAAGCAGGAAATCTAAGATTGCAACCCCAACTTTAGTCTGTGTTTTAACCACCACACTACAGAGAAGATGCACAGTACAAAGTAGTTGCTCAGGATCTGATGTGAAATCCCTCCAGGCATCAATTAAATCTTCCCTTCTCCACTCTACCACAGCAGACCATATGACATCTGCAGTGTACTCCAAGACTCTCTATCAGATCTAGCCTCTTGTCATCCCAAGACACAATTTAAGAACTCAAAGGCCCCTTCTAGGGAGATACCGAACTATTAATCCCAGGATAGGCCAGTAACCACAGTCATATTATCTGATGCTCCCTTGAAAGAGATCACAGTAAGGTTAACTCAACCTCCCTTAAAAGGAACAAGGCAGCCGGCACCGGTTTGGCTCAGTGGTAGAGCGTCGGTCTGTGGACTGAGAGGTCCCGGATTCGATTCCGGTCAAGGGCATGTACCTTGGTTGCGGGCACATCCCCAGTGTGGGGTGTGCAAGAGGCAGCTGGTCGATAATTCTCTCTCATCGACGTTTCTAGCTCTCTATCCCTCTCTCTTCCTCTCTGTGAAAAATCAATAAAAATATATTTTTTAAAAAAATAAAAAATAAAAAAATAAAAGGAACAAGGCAGAGGGGATAGTCCAGTGGTCAGCAAACTGCGGCTTGCAAGCCACATGCGGCTCTTTGGCCCTGTGAGTGTGGCTCTTCCACAAAATACTATGACCTGGGCGAGTCTATTTTGAAGAAGTGGTGTGAGAAGAAGTTTAAGTTTAAAAATTTGGCTCTCAAAAGAAATTTCAATCGTTGTACTGTAGATATTTGGCTCTGTTGACTAATGAATATATCGACCACTGGAATATTCATTTGAAGAACTTAGTTTCTCTCCAAAGAATTTCAGGTGCTCACTTATTGGCAATGAGAAAAGCTATTTGTTCTCACAAAAGCCCAATAAAACAAATTTCATTCAGAAACACTGATTGCCTTTGATTTCATTTGTAGTTATGATGATTATTTCAATGCCAAAATTTTATTCTGACCTGCATTTTAGGATCCTGCATAGAAATCTTCAAGCCTTGGCTCCAGTGGCCCAATGATTCCTAAAACAATATAGAACAATGAAAATCTCAAATGCCAATAGTTAAATTTGGTATTAGTTCACATTGAATGTCAGCAAAGTCCAACCAAACTTGGAAATAATGTTAATTTTTTAAGAATTAAACTATAGCCGAAACCGGTTTGGCTCGATGGATAGAGCGTCCGTTTGGGGACTGAAGGGACCCAGGTTCGATTCCGGTCAAGGGCATGTACCTTGGTTGTGGGCATATCCCCAGTAGGGGGTGTGCAAGAGGCAGCTGATCGATGACTCTCCCTCATCGATGTTTCTAGCTCTCTATCTCTCTCCCTTCCTCTCTATACAAAATCAATAAAAAAAATAAGAATTAAACTATATCCCCTTTATATCAAACTTATGCCTTTGTAATCATAAGCCATCCCCATTTTCTCCCTATATCCAGAGGCTAGAAAAGCCAGAGTGTGAACCACATCTTTTGTCCTCTCCTACTCCATTTAAGCCTGACTAGGTTTCCACTCTGACATCAGGATGTGAATCACATGATCTATGAAAAGTGTTTCAAAGCTATCCTTCTAGAAATACAAATGACTGACACATTTTAGAAGCTCAGTGTTAAGTACGTTCTATTATCGCCCTACCTTCAACTGGCTTACCTCAGGAATTCAAGAGAAAAGCACATAAAGGGAAATTCACCCAAGTAACTGATGACACAAACAAGTGACTCTTTCATCTTGGTTAATAACCCCTATCATGGTTAATAACCTCTCCCGTGTGCCTGGCTTTAGAGTGTACAAAACAATTAAGCCATCATTATATCTCATTTAATCTCCACATAATCTTATCAAGCAAACTACCCTCACCTTTTTGGTAGATTCATTTGTCCCCTTGTTTGTGGGCACAGAGCACTGGCTAGGGTCACTCCCAGGTACCAGTCCTGTACTGGGCTCAGCTTCCTGGGCAGCATCCCTTTCTAAGGAATCGCTGCTGCCTGACCTCTTTCTCTTCCTGGGTGTTTCCAGGCCAGGGCTCTTTGTCTCTTCCTCGAATTCTACAATATATGGATAAAGTTCATTCACAATGTGGAGAACCTGGCCAGGCTGCAGCTTCACCTCTTGGTCCTTCCCAATTATGACTGAGTCAATGCTGCTGGGATTAACCCCTACCTATGAAATAATCAGAAAGTAATTACAAAAAAAGCAACAATTCCATCACTAATATAGCCACTATTATGTTAACCACTTACTGTGTGCCAGGAACTATGCTTAATGTTCACTTATATTACTCCATCACTTCCACACATGACAGAGAAGACTTACTGGCTGGCACTGACACCCTAATAGCCTAAGAAAATCATCAAGTATAAAATGGAAATTGAAGTCACAAACAGACATACCTGCTTTACCTTGACATATCCTTTGTTACAGTCTGCCTTCAACCGCACTGAAAGAGATTGGAAAAAGTCAAACCCAAATACCATGAAGAACCAGGCACTTGCTCCTATTCTCTCTACAGGACAATGAAGCCTCAAGAAGGCAACTTGACGAGGGTTTCCTCAAATGAGCAAAACTGCCCATTATACAGGTGACGGGGGCTCCAAATCCTTCCATAAAATGTCCAACAGGTCATCATAAATTAAAATTTTATTTTCTCCACTCAGAGACTATTAGAATGATGGGACTGTTTATTCTCTGAAATTTACAGAATCAAACACTTTAAAAAAGAAAAGTCCAATGGTGTACATACTCCCTTAGCTACTGCTAATATCCCCAAGAGGCAGCTTCACTGAGTCTCCACAGTCTTCCTCTTCCAGAGCCCTTGGCCCGCCTGGGACCACAGTTAGGGAAGGAGACCCACTTCTCTTACAAGCTCTCCACTCAAGATTAAATCAGGCTTCCGCTATTATATAAAACTATCAGATTCCTTAACAGAGAAAGGGGCAAATTATACATTCCGGAAAAACAGAAGTTCAGCTGGCCTTGGGTAGAAGGAGTGGAGAGAATAGTCTAGAAAGAGAAACAATCAGAATAATCTGAGCATGTGTGGGAAGAACATTTTTCACTCATGTTCAGGGAAGTGAGATAAGGAACAAAGAAAAGAGACACCACAGCTGCTCTCCAGAGAGGACAGGCAGAGGACAGGCGGACACACCTCACTGCCATTGTGACCAGAGGCACAGAGAGTGAGAAGCAGCGTCTGCCTATGTATCTTGGGCTTAGCCAGGTCAAGTATGGCTTTTTTTCACCCATTTAGATTAACTCATGTGGCAAAACCAATAATCCGTGCTGCAGACACCAAACCTCAGGAAACCCTGCTATGGGGAACTGCAGGTGGGAGGCCGGTAGCAGTGAGCATGTCCCAAAGTTTATGGGCAAAAAAATGAGGTATATGTTAAGGCTTTTCCAAAGGACTTTCATTTCATGAAATTCCAGGGATGACACTCAAGAGCTAAATACTATCACCTTATAAAGATACCACCCTCTGGGAAAGATAGAGGTCAGGAGGTAGATGTGGGGAGATTAACTGGAAAACATATATGTAAATATGCATAGCCCAGGGACACAGACAATGGTGTGATGAAGGCCTGGGAGGGGTGGGTGCCAGGTAGAGGAGGCCAATGAGGGAAAAAACAAAGGAGACATTCATAATACTTTCAACAATAAAGATAAATTTTTAAAATAAATAAAAATACTACCCTCTATATGAGGTAATATGTAAAGGATGAAACCATACCATCACTTCTCAGACATGGTTTCAGCCTAAAGACCCCAGAATTCAACTGTCTCACTTCCCAACTCGGTCCCTTCCTAGACAAAGCAGGGTTCAGGACTCCACCACCAACAGTAACAGGAAGGACCACCCTGTTCCCAACACTGAATAGTAACTGCTTCCAGAGGATGGACTCAGGAGTGAACGGCCCGGTGTTGGCTAAGAGAGGCCTGTTCCTGAGTTTTGTTTTTGTCAGACCAAAGGTTTTCCATCATGACCACCCAGAAAACGCGCACCTTTGGTTAGCACTACTCTAAGGAACCCAGCAGGTACTCTCCACAGTCTTGTGACCAGTTACCTTGCTGTCGAGAACATTTCTTATCAGTGATCTTGGTCTCTGGGCTGCGCCCAACCAGGACTGCTTCCAAATGTGGAAGTTTGATTCGCTGTTGCCGGTTGTCTTGTCTCACCAACCAGCACACCCGCATCATTACTCTGAGAGACGAAACAGAAGAGAATCATGGGAATACTAGCACAGGTCCTCCAGGGCCGCACCCCAGATGCCACACACGCCACATACCATCTGTTCATCTTGAGGCAAGTGACTTCACCTCCCTAGTCTCAACTTCCTCACATGTAAAATATGATAATGACAGGATTCATAAGGTTGTTGTGAGAACTAACTAAGAAAACATGGGTAAAGTATTCACCTCTGTGCCAAGCAATCAAATTTCTTATATTTATTGATATAGTTTATGTGCTAGGTATTAGGCTAGGTTTTAGGCTACAGGTATTAATCAAAGAATGATTAAACATTGTCCCTATTCTTCTGGGGCTTGGAATACAATGGGACAGATAAACTCATGTACCAATTATTAAAATGCAATGTGATGAGCATGTAAAACGGAAGTAACCAAATACGGCATTAGCTCAGGCAAAGGAATGACTGACTCTTGCAGAGAGTATCAAAAAAGATTTGTGAAAAGGGATATTTATAATGGGTTTTAAAGGACTGAAAAGGAGTATGCCTGACAGAAAACTAAGGACTTAAGAAGAGAGAAGATATTCTTGTCGATAGGCACTTTTTGTGTATTTGAAGGTTTCTCTTCTTTAACTGTCAAAACGTACTGTTAGAATGATATTTTGCTGCCATCTGCCAGAAGACTGTCATAATAAATATGCAAACATGCAATTTCCAAAGTATGACTGCAGCACCTTTGTGCAATACACAACTTGCACAATAGTGGAGGTGCTGGCATTCTTTTGAAAAACCCTTAAGGCCATGTAAAGGTTCAGCAGAAGAGAGAGAAAGAGACAAGAAATTCTGCCCGAGCAAACACAGAACAAAGGGGATGGAGAGGAAGAACAGCCAGAAGAAATCATGAAGGTAGACTGAATTACTGACTGCATTTGGGGAATGACAAAGGAGGAAAGGGAGATAGCCAGGATTCCTAATTTGAAAATACCCATTAACTAAAAGGAAGAATATATAAAGAGACATAATTTGGGGATAAACATAGGTAAAGAAGAGATGATTTCAGATTAAAACACTAGATGTAGGAATTGAGCCTAAAATGAGTCCTATATAAAAACCTCGTTAATTAGCTGAAACCGGTTTGGCTCAGGGGTAGAGCGTCAGTCTGCGGACTGAAGGGTCCCGGGTTCGATTCCGGTCAAGGGCATGTACATTGGTTGCGGGCACATCCCCAGTAGGGGATGTGCAGAAGCAGCTGGTCGATGTTTCTCTCTCATCGACATTTCTAGCTCTCTATCTCTCTCCCTTCCTCTCTGTAAAAAAATCAATAAAATATATTTTTTTAAAACAATAAAAATAAAAACCTCGTTAATTAGGTGAAAGGGGGCAGCTTAACTGAGAAGTGGAGAAAAAGCCTGGCTGGCGTGGCTCAGTGGTTGAGCATCAACATATGAACCAGGTCAGTTCAATTCCTGGTCAGAGCACAAGCCCCGGTTTTGGGTTCAATCCCCAGTAGGAAACATGCATGAGGCATACCAAGGATTCTCTCTCATCATTGATGTTTCTATCTCTCTCTCTACCTTCCCCTCTGAGATCAATAAAAAGATATTTTTTAAAAAAAAAAAAGAATAAAGAAAGAAATCGGGGAGGATTCCAACAAAAATGAACAGCAAAGACAAGTGCACGAAGGAACAGCACTGTGCATATGCAGAAGCACTTCAGTGTTGCTGCAACCCAAAGTATGAGGCAGAGAAGAGGCTGGAGATTTAAGCATGTCCAAATGAAGCAGAGCCCTGGATGACTGGCTGAGCTCAAATTTTAGAAGTTCCAAGGAATTTTGCAATTCAGTAAACAATAAACACGTGCTAAATGAATGAGCAAGCAGATGAAAGACAGAAAGCTTTTTAAAGATTAGTAAGCAGGACTTTGACACACATTTGTTTTCAAAGATCATTTGTGGGAGGAGGTAGGTAGTGTGAAGAGATATGTGGGGAACAGAACTAGATTTGGGGAAACCAGTTAGCGATGAGGTCTGAAGTAGGACAATGGAGAGACAAAACAGAGAGCACAGACTTGAGAAACATTTAAGGGGTAAAATCATTAGGATTTAGTGATGGGTGTGATAAAGTAACTTCAGGGAAGATGCTGAGTTCAGTTTTGGCCTCGGAATTTGAACTGCCAATGGCAGAGCTGTCCGGCAGAGTAGTCAGAGGTGAGGGTGAAACTCAGAAAAGGGGTCTAATATGACAACTTCTATTTGAAACCACGAAGGGAGTTAAAACCAAGCCAGGTGATGTGCTCATTCAGGCATTATGTACAGAATGAAAAGAACAGTCTGGACAGAATGGCTCAGTGGTTGAGTGTCGATGATATGGAGGTCATGGTTCGATTCCTGGTCAGGGCACATGCCTAGGTTGAGGGCTCAATCCCCAGGAGAGAGGGGGCAGTAGGCAGCCGATCAATGATTTTCTCTTATCATTGATGTTTCTCTCTCTCTCTAAAATCAATAAAAATATATTTTTTTAAAAAGTACAGTGGACCAAAGTGACAAGCATTGGGAACACCGTTTTAGGAGAGGAGGAAAAAGACTATCCGCAGGAGAAATGACTGGTGAGAGAGGAACATGGAGGAACAGCTAGAATATAAGCTCCTTAAGGATATAGCACATTGTCTTGCTCATCGCTATATCATTATAAATGTTCACTGAATAAATCAGCTGTGTGTGTTATCCTGGAAAGCAAAGAAGCAAGACCTAGCCAGTTTGGCTCAATGCATAGAGCATCAACCTGTGAACTGAAGGGTCCCAGGCTCGATTCCAGTCAAGGACATGTACCTATGTTACAAGCTCAATCCCTGGCTCTGGTCAGGTAGCATGTGGGAGGCAAACAATCAATGGGTCTCTCTTATATCAAGGTTTCTCTCTCTCCCTCCCTCCCCCCCCTTCCTCCCCCTCCCTTCCACTCTCTCTAAGAAAAATCAATAGAAAAATATCCTCAGGGGACAATTAACAAAAATAAAAAAGGGAGTGAGAGGCATCAAGTCTCAAAAGCAGCAAGGGAATCAAGTGATGGTTTTTAAATGACTATTTGGTTTGAGGAACAATCACTGGTGACCTTAGGGTAAGATTTCAGGGGAATAATAGGTCAGAAAGCAGATTGCAGAAGGAAATGGGAGTTGAGAAAATGGGGACAGAATTTAGAATACCCTTTAAAACAGTTTGGATAAGAAGGGGAAAGTCACTGGATTACGCTAAAGGAAGATGATCACCAAGAACTCTTTTTCTTTCTGGCTTGCACCTAAAATGGGGAAATGGGGATAAGAGATGACCAGGGATCTGAGAAACCTGACTTTGTTTATACATGACTGGGACGGGGCAGAAAAAACAAATGAAAATTAGGTCTCATATATGAGAATATAAAATATCAGAGACACAGATAAGGAGATTTGCTTTGATCAGAGGATACAGCTCTTCCTCATCCTCTGAGACTTAAGATCAAGATGAGTATAAATCTGCCGAAACCAGTTTAGCTCAGTGGTAGAGTGTCGGTCTGCAGACTGAAAGGTCCCAGGTTCGATTCTGGTCAAGGGCATGTACCTTGGTTGTGGGCACATCCCCAGAGGGAGTGTGCAGGAGGCAGCTGGTCAATGTTTCTCTCTCATCAACGTTTCTGGCTCTCTATCTCTCTCCCTTCCTCTCTGTAAAAAAATCAATAAAATATATATATATTTTTTTTTTTTTAAAAAGATGAGTATAAATCTAAATGGCTTTGTAAATGGGCAAGCAAAAGCAGAATGTAAGGAAAGGCACCTCTGGTGACCTAAATTTTCTCCATAAAATAGTAGATAACGGAGTGAGGTGTTCGGGCATTTGACGAGCAGCTGAGTAAAATCAATATAGAATAGTGGATAACGTCCAGGCCTCTAAAGTCCAAATGCTTGAGTTCAAATCGTGGCTCCACAACCTACTCACTGTGTGACTTGAGACCAGTTATTTGACCTTTATTTCTTCAGCTATAAAACAATAACTGCTCAACACTACAAGGGCTAAATGAGTATGTAAAGATCAGTGTCTGGCAAAAAGTAAGCATTATCACTCTCGTTGATAATACAGGTAGGATGAAAGCAGGAGCTCAAGACCCTGCGGTGCAACTAACATGAAAGGGCACAAATCTGTATGGTCTCCCCCACATGGAGAGCCCTGTCCCAAGTGTTCTAACGTTCCCCAATTTGTAACCTGGGCCACATTGTTCCGAATGGAAATTGTACCCCGGCTTTTGAACGGCTACCACTGGTCTGTGGGGCAACAGGCTTGCTTCTTCTGGCCTTCCAATAAGGCCTGCTGAGGACGCTGGGAGAGGCCCTCAAGTTTCCCTCAGGGAGCGTTTCTCAAGAGAACAATGTCCTACCTGACAACCCACGCTCTAATATTTTCTCCGCTTGTGTTGCGACCAAGCTACTACCCTGTTTCCCAGAAAATAAAAGTGTCTTATATTAATTTTTTTTTTTTTTATTTTCAGGGGATGTCTTATCTTTCCATGCGCCAGGTCTTATTTTCGGAGGATGTCTTATTTTCGGGGAAACATGGTAGGTACGGGTGTCAGGGGCTCGGGTGAACGGCCGCGAAGCGGGGCGGAGACCGGGGCGGAGACCGAGGTGAGCGCCGCCAAACCCGGCCCAAGGGAGCCAGAGGGAGCCCGGAGCCCGGGAGCGCGAGGGAGGAGCAGCGCCTGCCGGGAAAGAAGCCGTGAGAGCGCTAATCAAGTCACATCACTCAAAAACCGCGGCGAACTGGACAAAAGGCCCGCGCCCACGGCTTCCACCGCGGCCAGCACAGGAGGCAGGCCAAACCGCCTTACCTCCAACAGCCGAGGGGGCAAACTTCGCGTTACTCCTTTGCCGCACCACTTCCGGCGCTGAGGGATGACGTCGCCAAACTGGCGGGCAACGCCGTGCGTCACCAGCGCCGGCCAGAGGATTGGCTGATGTCGCCCCTAAGGTCCGGGAAGTAAACGCCCG